CAAAATCAAGACTTTGCAAAAGAGCATAATAGGACCCCTTTAAATTACGTTTATTTTTATTAGCCCATTGGCAGATATTTCTTCTTGTTCTAAGTATAACACTTCAAATCCTGATTAAAGACTGTTTTAGAAACCAAGCCAAAAATCAATATCTCACAAAACAACAATGCAATTTCCCTTCCTGATTAAATTGTGTCTTATGAGGCATATTGTCTAAATATTAATACTATAACACACAATACTTTAAGGAATGACTGAATGCATAATGCTTTCAAGGCAGGATTATGGATTCTGTCTAGTATAACACTTATTTACTTATTTGATTTTCACACTAGTAATATTGCCAAAAAAAAGATAGCACAATTTAAGATGTACATTGAATGCTATTAAATGAAATGCACTGATAACTGACCTTCTCGATTTTGTCCAGCCATTCTTTGTTGGACTGTAGTTCGGCCATGAAGGCCTGGTGTTTGAGCCATTTGCTGTGCAGGTTGCGAGCCTCATCGTAGGACATGTCCTGTGCTGTCAGCATCTTCTCATTGATCCACAGGGACAGCTGAGCAGAGGACGCAAAACAGTCAAGCTAAGATGTGCTTCTATTGGATTTGCCTTATTTTTCAGCATGTGAAACTAACTAAAACTGAAACTATATAAATGCATTTTCGTTACTTGAAATAAGTAAATGTTAAATAAAATACAATTTTTTTTTTTAAATTTCAGGTAGTTGCCAGCAACATTTCTCATATTAATTTAGTGTCACGTGATGTACTAAAAAAAATTATAAGAAGAAGAAATGATACAGACATATTTAAAAATAATAATAATAATAATAATTAAATAAATAAATTCCAAAAAAATCCAAACAACAAAATTACTTAAACTTTAATTTAAATGAAAATAGAAAATATATACTTAAAATTATTCAAAATATAATTAAAAACAATAACAGTATCCAGATCATATCAGGGTTATTATAGTTAACTAAAAATAAAACACAAAAAATTATAATAATTATTTCAGCTAGTTGCCACGGCAACATTTCTCATTTTAATTTAGTTTAACGTGATGTGCTAAAATAACTAAAACTAATAATACAAATAAAACTATTAAAACTAATACGAAAAATGCCAAAAACACACAACAGAATTAAATGAAAATAAACACTTGTTCAAAATATGAATACAAACTATAATAGTATCTCACTGAGACTAGAATAACAGGGTCAGCTCACCTCCTGGCAGTCCTGCAAGAACTTCTGCAGGTCTCTGTTGTCCTTCAGCCTCATGAGCAGCTCCACGGCCGCCTCACGGTTCTTCTTATGCCTGCAGGTTAAAGCTTGAAGGTCAATCCGACTCTTTTATCTGTTTTTATCTGTTCACTTTGACTTGTTTAAGTGCATGTGTTTTGTTACCGGTCATCGATGGAGGCTGCTTTCTCCTGGATGCGGTCGGCATTGATGTTTCCGTCACTGGCCAGTCTCCTTCCGGCCTCCACCACTCCGTTGATCTTGTCCTCATTGGCATCCATGGTGGTCATGAAGTCCTCCTGTTTCTTAATGGCAGCTTCTGCTCCTTCAAGGGTGGTGGGCATCTCGGTATGAGCCAGAACATACTCCTACAGAAAGATAGAGAATAAATCACTCAGGTGAAGCTCAAACAGGATGTTTAAACTCTTAAAAATAAAGGGTCCAAAAGGGGGTTGTCATAACTATAAAATAATCATTTTTTTGGTTCCTCAAAGAACCTTTCAGTGAACAGTTCTTAAAATATAAAAATGTTTCTTATTTTTTAAATATCTTTTATTTTTTGTTATTTTTTCAAAAAAATATTTGTATTGATGATGATTATTATTATATGCTTGATTTTTTTTATTTTACACCACAATAAAATGTCTCATTTTGTTTAACGTTTTTATTTAGTAAACTAAAATCACAATATGGCTTAGTGCAATTAACAAAAAGATGGTTTGAAAATGAATAAATTAAGAGAGGGGAAAAAATATTAGTATTGTAATTTAAAATAAAACTATTTTTATAATTATTGTTCTTAAATACTTCATTTTTATTTTACTGTGAAATATTACAATTACAATATGGCTAAGCGTAATTTTTCATTTTATTGTAAAATATTACAATAGTAAAATTTCTTATTTTGTTTAATATTTTTATTTAGTAAACTTTTTGAACGTTTATTTAGTAAACAATTTCGCAATATGGCTTAGTACAATTGCAATTAAAATGGTTGAAAATGAAAAAAATTAAGACTGAGAAAAAAAGAAGAAGAAAAAAAAAGAGTATAGTCACTTAAAATATTTAAAATCATTTAACATTTTAATTACAATAGTAATATTTCTTATTTTGTTTGCAGTGATGCCATAAAAGAACCATTTTTGGGTTTCCCAAAGAACCTTTCAGTGAACCGTTCTGAAAAGTAATTTTTTTCTTAGTGTGAAGAACATTTGAATAATCTAAAGAACTT